GCACTCAAAAGGTGCACGTGTGGCTATATGTACCCTTACTGTAATTGAAAAATATAACTATCTAATAAAATGTTCCCCGGCCAAAGAGGTCACCTTAATACCAGAAAAAAAATAATAATAAAATTATTTAAATATTATAATAGTATTAAAAATTTTCAAAAATTTTATAATATTTTTATTATATTATTTATATAAGACTAAAGTAGATGGTGCCCCATACATATTGTGCCCCTTACTATGAAAATTGTCAAAAATTGCTAATATTTCAAAATTTTACTAGAGTAACCCTGTTGTATAACTAAGAAAAAATGATCCTTACCTAAAAAACCACTCAGCCAACCCTAATCCCTAACCCTAACTCTAACTGTCATATATGTTTGCACTTATAGAGGTTTCGGGCTCGATTCATTTAATCAGTGCACTCGCTTTGCGCACTTGTGTATTGTACCAGGCACTGCTACCTATACTACTGTATATACTAAGATGTGTATTCACTAAGCTAATAAACAGACTAATGCTTATGTTACTAATTTACTTTTTGTAACTTTTCTCTGGAATCATTACACTTTTATTAGATTATCAATCTGGGTACTTAATTATCCAGTTATATGCATTATGCAATACTTACAAAAAGACTATAAATTAAATTCATGCAATAATGATCATGTCATTGATGTTACCCAGTTCTGATCAGGTAACCTGTGATCATACCTAACCCTAGCACTATCAACACAAGGGTGTTAGTTGTTATTATGACAGGAGCTAGATCTCCAATGAACTTCGTCCCGAAGTTTACTTAATAATTTACTACAACCCAACACTAATGCTAATTATTAATTTACATACACAAAGGCATAAAATTAAATATGCACTAACACTAAATGTTTTTTTTTTTTGCTAACATTTCAAACCCAAATGCATGTCGATTTGATTTCCAAATATTGAATGCTCCACGCCATCGCAGCTGATTATATGATCCAAGTAGATACGATCGTAGAATCCCCTTTTCCTAATTTGATTCAACACGTCTAATATTCGTTCTGGATTCCAATTGTCACCAGATCTTCGTGCTTTTGATCGATTACAATATTTGCATAAGCCATTTCTTTTCTTATAGACATTCTGTTGTTTACAGCCACAGGTATCATTATACTATTCAGCGTTGCTTTAACATTAACATCAGTTTCACATCATCATTCATATTGTTATTATCATTATCAATTCCTATCTTCACTTCAAGATCGTCTTTCGATTCATCTTTATCATTGGACATCAATGATTCTAGTAAATTTTTCATCATAATATCTATTTTCATGACTTCATTCAATGGAGCCTCCATCACTACTATCGGTTTATCTTGATAATGATATTCAACTTCGATTATTTCAATAGCACTACTTATATTAGCAGATTTTTGACAATTAATGAACATCTTATGTTTATCTTTTTCAACCTTAATGCCAATGTCTTTTAGTTCATTCAATTCACCTATATTTCCAATAGTCTTTATGGGTAAGATTTCATTTTTCATTTGCACCGCAACAGTCCTTTTTCTTTTACTCTTTCTTATTTGTTTACTTCTTTCAACCTTGGCCTACAAGCTCTGGCTACTTACATACCAAAACAACAATATTATTATTGGTCAGATGCGAAAGAAGCTCCCAAACTCAAACTCCATATTAATTACTCACTAGGTACACAATATTGATTCAGCCCAACAAATTTAATACCTACTCCTACCCATTACCTGCTCTCCATGCCCAGGATGTAGCTTGAACTCTAATAGAATAACCAATCACTACATACTCGAAGTATCTCAATCTCTGTCTACTCAATTCTTAGGCAAAAAAACATCAAACAAATTTCTAAAACTTAATGCTAACTATATAGACCTTATTTACTCTATGCATTTAAACACCCTCTTTATATCTCTCACCTCCTACTATTACTATCTCTGACCTACCCACCACCCAGATCTTTCAAAACAGTAAGGCCTTCCAAAAGCTTACCCAATTTGCACTCCACAACATCTTCTCTAATGACCTTACTTTCTATACTGATGGGTCTGTGATAGGACTAGGCACAGACCAATGCTCAATGGGTATAGGCTGGGTTCAAGTTCAAGATAACCAACCAGTACAAGAATTCTCAGCAAAGATTAAAAGCTAGCTCTCTTTATATAAAGCAAAACTTATGGCAGTCCTGTTAGCAATCTCAACAGCTCCAAGAAATGCTACAATAAACATATTCACTGACTCCCAATCAGTTATATTAAAATATAACAGCCTATGTCAAACTCTTCTACTCTCACCTAAGTACACTAAATGCAATTACTGCCTATTTGGCATACTATAATAGGCTTTATCAAATTTTACAAAATTCAACTCCGTTTACACAAAGTCATAGCACACTTAGTTGACAAATTTAATAACTATGCTGATTCACTAGCTATACTTCACTCTCAGCCCCACATACTTTTTTTAGCCCATACTAATATATATAATCCATTCTCTACTCTTATCTAGAAGTAGAAAGCTATAGCAGACACTTTATCAAAGATATATGCAAAGCACAAACTATTGCTATACAGTCTTCACAAAAATGTAATCTCGAATGGCCAAACTTCATAGACAAAATTGACTAGCAAGCAACCTGGCTATATTTAAACAACAACCAAAAAGTCTCACATGGCTACAACAGCCAGAAACTCAACTATGCAAAAGCCTTTAAAATAAAAATACTTTTAAACTGCCTCCCTACATATAACTACTTTTACACAACCTCACATAAACATTTTCAGTTTCTTAACTGCTTCAACTATAATTTCTCAAAAATACTTACACACTGGCTAACATGTCTACAACCTAATATACTCAGCCAAATTATAGTCTCTTCTATATCTGAAACTGTTCAGAAATTACTCCCAACTTTACCAGTCTCTACATGAAATACTCTCATTAATGCTTTATATACACACCCAGCACTCAATCCTTTTCTTCAATCCTCCAACAACTACAACTACATTACTACCCTCCAGAGCCTTATTCTAGCTTACCTCATACTAACAACTTGATCTGAGAATATATCACACAAAGAGACATCACAAATTGTCATACAAACTCTGCTACACATAACTGAAAATATTTACGAGCAGATCTGAAAACCATACTCAGCCAAATTAGCTTAATGGAAAAAAGAGCACAAGATCTCTACAAGACCTACAGGCAATCCTCCCCAATACAAAAAAATGCTCAGCTTTAAAACAACACAAAAAAGCCTATACATACAGCTGTCTTTGCGGACAACCAGATCAAGTGCATGACAAAAATAATACATGCCCACTAGCTGAACTAGCAACAAAAAAGTTCAATAGCTAAAGTCCCATGTGGATCTCCTCTAATATACCTACAAACTTTATATTAACATTAAAAGCTAGGTGAGTCTTGACCACTCTAGTAGGTTTAGGTCGCAGATAAATTGTTAAATTAGTCTAAGCTCTTACTCTTGCATGTAATTTATATGTATTTGTATTTGTACAAGTTAAGTTGTATATAGTCTACTATGTAACTTCTTATATAAATTATTTGGTTGATATTTAGTATAGGTGGGAATATATAAATATTATAAGATTATTTAATATAAAAATAATTATTTGAATTAATTTAAACGAGACTAGTTAGGGTTAGGGTGAGGATCATAGTATAGTTTATAGTTAGCTTTGGGTTAGAGCAGTGTATAAAATTAATGTGCACATGTTTTTTCTATTTTTACATATAAAATTTTACCTTGTGCACATTGTGCACATGTTTGTGCACATGTTTTGTAATTCAGATTTTATACACTGGGTTAGAGTTAGAGTTTTTTTATATTAAATAGTCTTATAATATTTATATATTTCCATCTATACTAAATAAGATCCAATTATTCAATAAAGATATGAGCAAAACCTTACCTTAAAAAAATAAATAAAATAATAATAAAAATTTATTTATTTGCTTCTGATATTGTAATATTTTAGAATATTTAACTATATAATATTTTGTGTATGAAAATATCAAGGCAAAAAAAAGCTATGATTATAAGAGTTTGCCAGATAACAAATATTTACTTTTTTGGAATAATATTTATTTATATACCCAAAAATTAACATAAGATTGCATACTTTTATAGTATAATCAGTTAAAAAGCCAAATCAACAATCAAACTATAATTGATATCTGGCCTCAATTTTTTTAAATTCTATTAATCTCTTCTTAAATACACTAGATTTTATAACTATACCAATTATAAAATCACAAAAAAACAACTAGTTTATTTTTTCTACCTCTATTTAAACAAATTTAGACAAAATTATTTCAATTTCAGATAATATATATATATTTGAAAAGTACTCTATAGATTTAAATACTTTAAATACAATACTTTTGACTCCTATTTTATTAAAATTTTTCACTTTATCAAAAAACTTGATAAACTTTATATGCAAAATACAAAAACAAAAACTAAATTAAAACTTATACTATAAACTTTTTATCTCTTATCAAGAAATTAAAGCTTTTGCTCAAATCTATATCCAACTATTTACAAACTTATCTTATTAATTGACTTACAAATCTCTATTTCTAATCAAATTATTGAACAAATTAAAAATACTATTCCTACTTTACACTATTAAAATGAACTAATTAATGCTTACCAAAATATTATTAATTTAGATTCTCAAAATTTACATTTCTATTCAGATACATTAATTGTTTATCCTCAAATATCTAATATTAAAACTAGTATAAGTTGGATACTTGATAGTGATATTCAGATTAAATTTAATATAGCAACCCAAAATATATCAAATATAACAAGAAAAGAAACTGAATTAATTCTTTATTTACTTTTTATAATACCAAATAATACTCAAATTAATATTTACATTAACAACTAATCTACAATACAAATTTTACAAAAACTACTATACACTCACAACACTCTTATAAAATATTTAAATTAGGATATTATTCATATAATTAACTACTTATTATAATATTTCTATTATCTTATATAAAATTAAATCAAACTCAAACAACCTCTGGCATATAGAGACTAACTTATTAGCAAAAAAAGGCACAACCAAAAATCCTATTAAAATAAATTTAGAATATTTTATACCACTTTCTTATTTTTTCTAAAATCAAATAACTATTACTTTCAAACTTTGTAAATTTATCAAATATACTATTTTTACAAAAACATTATTTTCTTTTTTCAATCTTAAATTAATTCAAGCTCTTCCAAAGCTTAACTTAAAACTATTTTTTGATATATTAAACTCTCAAAACTATATCTTTTATTTTTATATTATACTTATTAAATTATTGCTTAACAATCTTCTAACTATAGAAAATATAAATATATGTTATCCTAATTTTTATATTACTTCTAACTGTGTTATTTGTAAACAAAAAGAAGATATATTACATTTATTAAATTGCACAAATCAAAAAATTTCACTTTATTATATTCTTCAAACAACAACTATATAAACTTTACAAAAGCTCTCAATTAAAAAGATTTTTACAAAATCTATAATTACTTGTTATTTGAACCTCTTTTTTTTATATTAATTTTATTCTTATTACTATTACAAAGTACTTTTTCTTAAAACAAATATATAGTATTATACCAACTTCTAAAAAATTAACTACTTATTCAACTATCAAACAATATTTTTGAATAGTTCCTAAAAGAAGTTTGAGCTCCAAGAAATAAACTTCAACATGAATGAGAAATTGCTTGAAAAATCAATTTTAAAACAAGAAAAAACAAAATTTATTACCCTGGAACACAACAAAAAGATTATAAATATTTTTCTAAACCAAACTATAATATTGATTCCTTTATTCAAAAATAGTTTTTACAAAACTACAACCTACTTAACTAATAATATTTTTATAATTTCTAATATATTATTATGCTTTATACTTTTATTTCCTATAACAACATCTTATTTTTTACAAAATAAGTTTATTATTCTAAGCCTATGCTTATTTTTGAATTTCTTTCATTTTTTTTGCTCTTTTAGAAGAGTATCAGCATTAAGTAAATCGATAAAAGTCACTTAATAGGAAATGTTCAGGACATAAAAATACACATACCCTGAAAGTTTAAAACAAATTGGAAAATTTTTTACTAAAATGTTTTTGCATTTTACATTTGAACATAAAATGCAAAAACATCTTAGTAAAAAGTTCTCCGATTTGCTTCAAACTTTCAGGATATGTGTATTTTTACGTTCTAAACAACTTCAATTAAGTGATTTTTATCGATGTACTTAATAGAATTTTGACTTTTATATATAGAAACTACTTCCAGATTTTAAGAAATTATCAGGTGTAGCTTATTTTTGAAATAACAAATTTTCTTATGTTTCTTCTCCAAGAAAAGAGGGGTAGCTTATTTTTGGCAATATACGGTAAATCTTCCAACTAGTGTTTGAAATTAGTATTCTTACAGTTCTTATAAGAACATGATTATAAGTTTGTAAATAATAAAAATGTTTTACTATTTACTATCAAAAATTTTTTGAAAATAGTAAAATAAAAATAGTGTTTAGAACACTTCAAAAACATGAAACTTACCTAGTGATTATTACATACAAGTGAAATCATACAATGATATCATTTATTTACTAATACTAAATAATTAGCTTAAACTATTCTGCTACCTAACTCTAACACTAACTTTAACTTAGGCTAAATACTTACTATAAAAGTATGAAATAATACACAGTGCATTATTCTGAATAATGGCTTGATTTAGATCAAAATTTGAAATCACACCCTTGCAAGTTATTTTGCACTTATATGATACTTATGTAGTGAATAGTGATACCACCGAAATTGATTTTTAAAAAAGGCCTATTTTTGTCTCCATTAGAGCAAATTAAAATTTTTTATAAGAAATAGCAAATAAAATTTATATATTTATACTTCTTATAATTTCGTCTATTCAAAAAAAGTATCAAAAAATTTCATCTTTTAAGTAAAATGAATTAAAAACAATTTCATCTTCAAATTTTAATTTCAGGTTTTTGAGCTCGAAATAATTTCATTAGCATGTATATTAGTGAAATAACTATGAAAATATCACTAAGCTCCTTAATTTTGAACTACCTAATAAATGAATAAAATAATACTTAGATGATAAAAGTTATAATATTAGATAGTTAGTATATAGTTTTTTTTTTTTAGTAAGCATAAGTAAGAACATAAATAGCAAATTGGGAATACTCATAGTTATTATACTGTTCTTATGAGAACAGTAATTAAGCCTAAAATTTTGAATAATGGTAGTAATATCATTTGTTTACTAGTACTAAAAAATTAGTCTAAACTATCTTATTTCCTAACTCTAACATAACTCTAACTTAGGCTGAAAACTTAATCCTGTGATTTGATAATTATAAAGATATCACTGGGTTTTTTGTTCTTAAAACTATCTAAGTTTTCTTTAAAATGATTGGTCTAAAAATAAATTTTGTGATTTTTAAATGATAATCTGATCATCTAATTAATTTTTAGCATAAAATAAGTTTATTTAATTGGTGAATCTTATTTGAAAACATTACAAAATCACTGGTTAAACCATTATTTTTTAACTAATATTTCTAGTACAAATAATAACTTATTTACTTTTATTTACTATATAATTACTAGATAATATAGTAACTAGTTCAATTGCAAGACAGTTAATAAAAAGGTAAATCTTATATAGTAGATTACACATAGGTATTCAAGTTAGTAACTGGGTAAGCTAATACTGGTAACATTCATTAGATAGTTTTAATTGTACTTATGACATTTGTAACTAACAATACCTAAGTGTAAATCTAATAAACAATATTGACAAGACTGCCAAATTAAAAAAAATACTAGGTAATATATGTATTTTAGCATATTAGCTAAAAATATATTAAACTACAAAAATATGTTATTATTTATACTTGAAATAACTGGTTATTATTTAGTTAAAATATGTGTTTTTAACCAGTGAGTGATCGTCAATGGAATAAAATTAGTATAATTCTTGGAGTAGTTTTACAGATACAGCAAACACGTGACTTATCTTCTTATCAGCACAGCAACGATTGACATGATTAACTCTAGATGCCACACAAAAAATACGTGGCAGATCCTCGACTTTGATTGGCTAACAACTGAGAATCTTCAAAATTTTGGCCCTCATTACATAATTGTTTTCTAATTTCTGGCCAGAATCAACTTTATAATTTTTTTATTACAAAAATAGAAATATTTAAGAAAATAAGCCTGCATTATAATAAAATTGGCCTAGGAACAATTTTCACTTAATAGGCGGCTGCAATTTCATTAGTAAAATTATGAGTAATTCTGGCCTAATATTTTGATCATCATTCTTAGCCAATCAAAATTGAGAATCTGCCGCGCATTTTTTATATAACACCTAGGTTCAATAATCGATATGAGCTCTTAAAATTGCTTACAACTTTATCTAGACAACTAGCCAACCAAACTTTATGAACTTTTTTTATTTTGATTCTACAGAGCTATAAAATTATAATAAAAAAAAAAGGTTTATCGAATTTGGTTAGCTGGTTACCTAGGTATCTTTGTTCAAAGTCTTAAAAACTTCAAACTGCCTATTAAAATAATGCAGAAAATTTTGGTAAATTTTGAATGAAAATAACTTGGTAAATAGCTAATCAAATTTGATTGATAACCTTTTTTTTATTTCGATTTCACAGTATTATAAATAAAGATAAAAAAATATTCATCGAATTTGATTAGCTAGTTGCCGAAGTTATCTTTGCTCAAATTTTATAAAAATTTGCCATAGCTATTATTTGATAGGCGTTTTAAATTTTGTAAAACTTTGAAAGAAAATAACTTGGAAACCCAACCAAATTCGATAAACTTTTTTTTATTTTATTATAAAATATTAGAGAATCTAAATAAAAAATTTCATAAAATTTGGTTGATTAGTTGTCTAATTATCTTCACTCAAAGTCTTATAAAAATTTCGCCAGAACTATTATTTTGATAGGCATTTTAAATTTATGCAAAACAGCAACTATTTAATCAAATTCGATGAGTTTTTTTTATTTTCGAGTCTACAGTATTGTAAAACA